CCCCAAAACCCCAAAACCCCAAAACCCCAAAACCCCAAAACCCCATAATTAGACAATAGTATTGATTATTATTTCAAGATGGACAATAATATGAGTTCGGGCTACAGCGAGAAACTTCTAGGTGATCAAAAGTAAGCTATCCTGATTAAAACAAGCTAATTTCACTTAATAGTAGGATAAACCAATCTGAAACAGGTAGTGGAAACCCTGAGTTATCTCCCAGGTCAAGAGAGTTGCTTCGAGTTGAAGATAATGACTCCTTAGTGGCTCATACAGATGAGAATTTCCATATTGAGGATAAAAAGGATTTGTTAGAAGACGAGCAAGACGAAAATTCAAGGGACTTAGACCAATTTTATGAGGATCCAACTGATTATCAAGAGAATCAGCAGAAAAAGAGAAATAAAGAAATCAAATTTTCAGAGCTTAATTCCGAAAGTCATGCTAGGGTAGATTCATTGAGACACACATTTGCTGATTTTAGGAAGGATCCAGGTAAACTCAAAACAAAAGCTATATTATATATCATTCTGAGTCTTGTTGGGATGGCTTACTCAATGGCATGCTTCGTTACTTCAGTGCAAGCATACACCGCTATTGGAAAGAATCCTCTTGCTTTATCTGCTCTCATCCATAATTGGGTATCCACTCCAATTGTTGATATAAAGACCATTGAAGATGACACTTGCTCTTCAGGCTATACACAAATGATTGACCGGAAATGGCCAGGCACGAAAGCTGGCTGCAACTGCAATGGAGAAATTAGTATTAAAGACGGTAGCTGAGGCAGTGGCTGAGAGAAAATAGAATCTCAGGAACCCATCCCCTTCACTAAATTCTTCGGCAAAACAATTTGTATCAAAAGATCAGGAACAAATATTCTCAATGCTGTCCGTCCAGACCCTCAGGATCGAACGAGATGAGAGGAAAATTATAAACCATGAGGAAATGGAGGGTCAAGTCATGAAGTATGTGTGCTATCCTCATCTGATTGACCCATTGATGACATCCAGATTGCTAAAGAGTCGCCAGGAGATGGCTACCAATCTAGCCCCCTTGGAGATGACTATCAAATTTGGTTCACTAATTCAGCAGACTCTCTACCAATCGTTGAATTCGAGCTGGCAGAGGACCATGTGTGTATATTCCCTGATGAGTTCTACATTGATCCTAACATAGAGCAATATCCACTACTAAATAAATGGAAACTTGACGGCTGCACGAGAAAAATCAGGGATGTCACTAAGGACACAAGATGGGCCCCCACTGAGTCAAGGACAATGCAAGATCTTATTGAAGAGAATCCCGAGATAGCCGAAGCAGTTAAGGATCTGCCAGGATATACCGTACCAAATACACCCTTGACTCTGTTCACCCATTCTTATGTTGACTGGGATCTGAAATGCCAGAATTCAGATGAAGCAGAGATGGGAAAAATTGCTGAGAAAAATAACCCAATCAACACTCTTGCTAATATCCAGTTGCTTTACATGATTATTTGATTCCTGTCTCTCCTAGTAATTGGTGTGATCTCCCCAGGATTTGTCATTTACAAGCAAACTTTGCTCCTCATCGGTAGAAGAGAGGCTGAAAAAGATCTTATCGCAAGTAATGGTATGAGGCTGATCGGATGCATCTTTATTGTCCTTAAAGGAGCCTTCCTGATCTCATCCATAGTAATAATGAACAACTTCATCAGCCTTGTAAATTACGTTGATAGAGAACAATGCACTGATGAGATAACGCTACAAATATTCCTGTTCCTCAAAGATGTCCTTAAACGGGCCCTCTCCAAAAATATTATCGGAGTAATAGCAGTGGGAATTATAGCAGTATTTGAAATCTTAGCCACACTTATTCTTTGCACCCTCTCCTGCAAAATGAAGAAAGACACACATCAGAAATTTAACTTTGTAGACGATGCTTCCAGCAAGAAGGACAAATAGCTGAATTCTATACCCTCTTTATTATACCTCAACCTTTTCGATCAGATTGGGGTTTTGGGGTTTTGGGGTTTTGGGGTTTTGGGG